GACGTTACAGATCTATCCTCACAACGTACTCTGTGGATCTGGATTTTTCATGTTAGTGTCCGCTGAAATTAGTGTCTTTCCACAAGGTTCTGTGGCGGTCACCTCATCGAGATAACAAATGTAATCTTATAAAAGGGCAAAAAATATTAAAGGGTACGGTGGTGTGGAGGGAAAGGAACAGACCCTGACTCAGTATTTATTTATTTGTTGTGGCAGGGCAACCAGTCAATTATATTACATTTCTAACAGAAACAAAGCAAACAAACAGACAAAATTAAAAATTGGTGAGTTTGGTAGTTGATTAAATGTTCTTTGACCACTTGGAGTGCCTCTGGTGTTGCTGCAAGGAGGTCCTCCATTGTGCATGTGGCAGGGCTCAGGTTGTATTGCAGTAGGTGGTCAGTGGTTTGCTCCTCTCCACACTCACATGTCATGGATTCCACTTTGTAGCCCCATTTCTTGAGGTTGGTTTTGCATCTTGTGGTCCCAGAGTGCAATCTTTTCAGTGCCATCCAAGTTGCCCAGTTTTCTGTGTGCCCAGGGGGGAGTCTCTCATTTGCTATCAGCCATTGGTTGAGGTTCTGGGTTTGAGCCTGCCACTTTTGGACTCTTGCTTGCTGAGGTGTTCCAGCGAGTGTCTCTGTAAATCTTAGAAAACTATTTCTAGATTTAAGTCATTGACATGTTGACTGATACCCACAGAGGATGAGTTGGAGATGTCTCTGCCTTGGTCCTTTCACTATTGGCTGCTACTTCCTGGCGGATGTCAGGTGGTGCAATACCGGCTAAGCAGTGTAATTTCTCCAGTGGTGTAGGGCGCAGACACCCCGTGATAATGCGGCATGTCTCATTAAGAGCCACATCCACTGTTTAAGTGTGGTGAGATGTGTTCCACACTGGGCATGCGTACTCAGCAGCAGAGTAGCATAGCGCAAGGGCAGATGTCTTCACTGTGTCTGGTTGTGATCCCCAGGTTGTGCCAGTCAGCTTTCGTATGATGTTGTTTCTAGCACCCACTTTTTGCTTGATGTTCAGGCAGTGCTTCTTGTAGGTAAGAGCACGATCCAGAGTGACTCCCAGGTATTTGGGTGTGCTGCAATGCTCCAGTGGGATTCCTTCCCAGGTGATCTTCAGAGCTCAGGATGCTTGTCTGTTCTTGAGATGAAAGGCACATTCTGTGTTTTAGATGGATTAGGAATCAGCTGTTTTCCTGTAATAGGCAGTAAGAGCAGCTAGAGCTTCGGAGAGCTTCTGTTCAACCATTTCAAAACTCTCTACTTGAGTGGTGATGGCACGATCATCAGCATAGATGAAGCTCTCTGTCCCTTCTGGCAGTGGCTGGTCATTTGGTGTAGATGTTGAACATGGATGGAGCAAGCATGCTCCCCTGAGGCAGGCCGTTCTTCTGTTTCTGCCATCTGCTTCTCTGGCCCTGGAACTCAACAAAAAAGCTCCTGTTTTGTAGCAGGTTTCCTATGAGGCGGGTGAGGTGGTAGCCAGACTCAGTGAATCTAATTCCTTTTTATGCTCACTCCATGCTGTGTGCATGGAAGGGACTTCAGAGCTTTAGCCGAGTACAGCAAAGTGAAGCAATGGAGTGGTATTTGTTGATTGTTTTGTTCTCCTGTGGAAGAAGAAAAGAGCCAGAACTCAGCTCTGTTGGCATTTCCTTCTTGCCAGCAAGAGCTTAACAGGACTCTATATTCTTCAGAGCAGAGCACCCCTTCCTCTACCATCCGGCGTTAGCTTATTGCTATTAAAATGCTTGAAAGTGTAACAAATATAGCTGTTTAACAGACACTACATCTGGAAAGATATTCTTACCTTTTTCGTTTCTCAGTCTGTACAATTCTGTACATTGCTGTTATTTTTTAAGTGGTTTTAGGGATTATGGAGGAAATAATAAAAAACCTTTTAAAGCACGTACAGGTTTTTGAATTGTCCTCATTATGTGGTTTGAATCTATGCTCCTCTTTTTCGTTCACTAATTTAAGCCATAGTTCAGCTAAGGACTAGGAAAATAAAATATGTGTGAATATCATATCAAGGAAGGAAATATCCAACGTAGTTAAAAGGCTCCTTAACAGATGAACTTTCAGGGAAACTCTCACTTAGGTATGTACATAGAAGCCTGTGCTATTACATGGATAAAGATTAATAATTTCTTTTCATAAATTCTGTAGTAACCAAGCCTCAAAACTCAGCCAACATATACCTTATATTATCTATTTTAATAGAGACGATAGGAGAACAGATGTTCTCTCCCCAGGCTTTCCTTTGCAGTCCAGAATTTTGTGTTTTTGCCCGTTCTCCAGCTTGCACTTTAAAACATTTAATAATAATATATGTAGGTAATTAGGCTCGAAACCCCTGAGTCTGCCAGCACGATATGGATGGTAGATGTGTTTGATGCTTTGGAATGGCTGGAAAGTTGATACATGCCCCCCTGTTGAGCCACCTTGTGTAATTTGCAGTATTAACTTTGAACTTTCAGCTTGTTTCATGTGTGTATGTGTGTGAGTGTCTCTCTCCCTATTTGCAAGCTCATATGGGAGTATTACTGAGGATAGTGAAATATGGCATTCTTGCAAAATAAGTGTCTATTGTTGATCTCTTTGAGATGAATTCCAAGGCACTCTTCTTGTTTTCCTTTAAGGAGTTAGTGATTGGTTCATGGTGTATCTTAATGGCAGAGCATTATTTACTCTGTGCTACCCTACATTCAAATGAGACTAGATCAACTGAATTAGTGAAACTTTCCTCCAAGTGTTCACTAACCAAATATCTATTCATTCAATGAGACAACTCTAGATGGGAATAAAAGTTGCATTTAGGCCAGTAAGTGTCTTTATTGCATGTCACAAAGCTAGGTAAAGAGCATTATTGTATAATCCATCCCCCTCTTTTTATACTTGCTGTATCCAGTAAAATTTTCCTAATAAAAATTATATATATATATATAATTTTTATATATATTCTGAAAAGAGCCAGTAATGTTGGATTAGGACACTTGGAGACCATGGTCTGAATTCCTAGTCAGCCATGGAAACATTAGGCAAGTTGCAATTTCTCAATCTCTGAGAAAGGCAAATGCAAGTCCTGTCAAGAAGACTTCATGATAGGTTCACCTTCAGGTTGCTTTAAGTCAGAAGTGACTTGAAGGCAGGCATGTAGCGGGGGGGGGGGGGTTCAGCCCCCCCCCCCAATTCTCATGGTGGTTCGCGAAAAGGCCTTGCTGGTGTGCATTATTTAAACTGTTATGTTTATTCATATCATGATCTGATCACCATACTCAATATATCCCATATGCATGGGGGTATTGGGGTAACGATACAAAAGGTTTGCTAGGGTAGACCCTCTTTCCCTCAGACTCAGCCCCCCCCCCCCGAATCAAACTCAGCCCCCCCCCCCCCCCGAATCAAAATCCTGGCTACGGGCCTGCTTGAAGGCATACTAGAACAACATAGAATTGGGTAGGAAAATTGAATTGTGATTTTCGACTTAAGAAACAAAAACAAAGAAAGGATTTTTTCATTTGAATTTTTATTGGTATTCCACAAAGAATTTCATCACTATGCTCAATAACAAAAATATTTTCATTGAATTATTATTTCTGTACATTAGTCTCAGAATGCATTTGATGGAATTGGTGTATGACAGGGAAGGACTATGTGCACTAACTTACCATATGGAGATTGTGCTCCATATCTTAAGTCATTAAACAGTGTTAGTTATACTAAAGATCTTATCACATTGGGATCAGGCATGTAGCCAGAGGGGGGGGGGCTTGAGGGGCTTCCTCCCCCCCCCCCGCCCCCGAAATTCTCATAGTGGTTCACGAAAATGCCTTACTGGTGCATTATTTAAACTGTTATGTTTATTCATATCATGATCTGATCACCATACTCAATATATCCCATATGCATGGGGGTATTGGGGTAACTGATACAAAAGGTTTGCTAGGGTAGACCCTCTTTCACTCAGACTCAGCCCCCCCGAAACAAACTCAGCCCCCCCCCCCCAAATCGAAATCCTGGCTACGGGCCTGATTGGGATATAATCAATTTATATCAGTATGCATCCCATATTTTTTTAGGACTGGATGCATACAGTATTGAGATGAGATGCATACTCTTCTGATCACACCTGATAATTATGATTCTTATGATTGGAAAATAATGTGCTTTGTCTCATCACACCACAGAAGGCTGATTCCTCCCAATCCATTCAAAACACTCCCTACATCATTCTATGACATTTTTTAAATTATCATTGCTGATGGGATGCAAACAGATTTTCCTATTACACACAAAAACTGTGCTTCAGCAACAGAAAAATCCATAGTATTTCAAAAACCATGATTAGAATTCTGCCTGAAAAGAATCCGTTTCTGCGACTCTTTGCAGATGGATTCTCACGGAATACTGATGGGATGAGGCAAATGTCATGTGATGGGACCTGTTCGAATTCATTCCCAAACAGTCTCAGAAATGGAGTATTTCCTATTGTGATAGGGTCCTAAGCCATGCTAGCTTGTTATTTGAAGAATTATTTCCAACTTCTGAAACTGGCATGAAACATGGTAAAGAGTGAAGACCTCTTCATTTGGAATACTTCATATATATATATATATATATATATATATATATATATATATATATAGTGATGATTATTATATAATTTTAAGTGACTATCAAAGACATCTGAAGCCTTTGCTTTTGTCATCAGAGATTATGCTAGTTTTCTGCATGGTCTTGTCTTCTCCTCCACTCCCTGCCTTGCATGATGGCCTGTTTTTCACAAAACAGTAATAATTCAGAACAGATGTGATAAAGAAAAACTTTGTCACAAGCTTACTGTATTTTTGTTGTGGTTTAAATGTGGCCAGACTAACACACAATTTAATAAACGTAACATGGGTTTTTAGTATTTAATGTTTAAGCCAATGGCCAACCATGTTTCCATGTGACTTATGATGATTGTTGAATGCTGATTTGTAGAACTCCCCTGATTGCTGCTGGAGTGATTGGTGGCCTCTTCATCATCGTCATTTTGGGCTTGACCTTTGCAGTCTATGTGAGGCGGAAGAGCATCAAAAAGAAGAGGGCCTTACGAAGATTCTTAGAGACTGAGGTGAAGACATTTTCATTTCTTTATTCCACACAGCAATTCACTCACTCATTCTTTTCTTCCTTTGTCTAAATTATGGAAAGGTTCTCTAGATGTTTCAAGCCACAAATTCCACCAGTCCTAGCATTATTCATTGATTGATACTCGATCTTTCTACCACAATTAGGACACACAGTCAAAGTGCCGAAAAAGGGAATGGTCATGTTGTATACTGTATTATTAAGTGACAGTGATATTTCCCTGTTCATGCAACCACCATTTTATGTATAGAATATGACAATCCATGATCTGTGGAAACCATGGACCTGGAGCCCATTGACTACTTTTGCGACTTGCGTCATTATTCTGTGGGAAATAAAATTTTACTTCCAACAAGCAACCAAATGTTATGGGATAGCAAAACCTTTCCTACAAGTACCATTTGAAAGTGTATTGTGAGCCTCACATTGGACCTTGTTTTTTGTGCAGGATGGAGTAATGGTGTTGTGGAGGAACTTGCCACAGTTCCATTGTCATGGACTGATAATTACCTGGTGAGCTTTAGACTCACTGGGACTCAAAACCTCCATGGGGATAGTCTGCCCCAGCAGGTGATTCTGTTGAAGGTCTGGCTGACCCCTGGAATGGGCAAATGGTCAGGGTGTGGACACAACCATCCTCTCACTGAGCAGAGCCAAATCAGTCCCTTGGTTTTCCAAGGAGCTGGTGAAAATGAAGCAAGTGAAATGGAGACTAGGGCAATGTCGGAGGAAGACTAATAACAAATTTGACTAAGTACTGGTGAGATCATATTTGAAAGCCTACTACATGGCAGCAGAGAAATCATTTGTTACTGCTAACATTGCATCTGCAAAGAACCACTCAACAGAGCTGTTTGTAGTGGTCGGAGAGCTGTTACATACTGGTCCTCAAGGATACAATTCTGACCATAAAACAGGATCCTTGGAGAGGTGAGAGCTTCCACATGTATTCTATATCCTTGCCCTTCCTGGTTGATCAAACCGGCCTAAGGGAGACTGGCAGAGCAGGTTAAGGTGATGGTCAATGACTCCTTGGAACAAGGAAAAGTTCCAACTTGCCAAAAGGAGACAGTTGTGAGACCTATATTTAAAAAGCCATTCCTGAATCCCTCTATAATGCACAACTATGGCTAGTGCCCAACCTTCTCTTTTTGAGCAAGGTTTTGGAGTGTATAGGGGCCTCCCAACTCCAAGGATTTCTGGATGAAACAGATTATCTAGATCCATTTCAAGCCTGTGGTTATGGAACAGAGAGAGCACCTGATGAACCAACCTGGACACAGCATATTATTAGAGAACACAGAAATGCTGGACCACTCTCACAACCACCATGTCAGACTACACAGAGAAGCCATTGAAATCCACAAGCATGTGGACAATTTCAACAGAAAGGAGGAAACCATGAAAATGAACAAAATCTGGCTACCAATATTAAAAAAAACTCTAAAATTATAACAGCAAAACAACAGAGAGTAAACAATCAGGCACATCTAATCACCTCTCAACAAAAGATTCCCCCAGGCATTGCCAAGCCATCAAATGCTAATTAAGGTGGTCAGTTGAAACATTCACACCTAGCTCCAGCAGACTACAGTCCTTTGTCCAACCTTGTTCATTCCACAGATATATAAACCCCCTTTTTCCTAGTTCCAACAGACCTCACTACCTCTGAGGATGCTTGCCATAGATGCAGGTGAAATGTCAGGAGAAAATGCCCCTAGAACATGGCCATATAGCCCGAAAAAACCTACAAAAAACCCAGAGATAGCTTTGTTCACATTGGTGAATGGTTATTAAATATTCTTTTGTGGAAACCATTTATTTCTGGAAGGAACATGCTAGTGTTCAAAACATTCTCCCCAAAAGCAAGATTACCAATGGTGTGGTCTCGGAAAGCAAAGAAGAGGGCCAATATTTCGTTCTTTTTCCCACTGGAATAAAGCAAAGAGCAAAGAATCCCTTGTTCTTTCTTTAATAATTCCTAGAGAACACAGAAAGTAACAAAGAGTCCTTAAAGTACAGTATTCAAGACATTCTTCTGAAATGGATGAGCAGATTCAAGCGCATTTTTATGGTTTGGGTTTCATATTGTTGTTTTATTCTTTATCTTATAAATTACTAATATGTCTCTGTGTGAATGTGCATTTCCTTCAATATTGCACAAAAGGAAATCAGGATATTACTGTACAAGTTTGCTTTTTCACAATGTATGAATCAATTTGAGTATGAGCCCATGTACATTAATAACCAATAAGAGAATGAGAATAAAAGAAAACAAGTCCAAACTACATATGCAGCAAACTTAACAAAGACTGAAAATCAAAAACAGAATAATATAAAAACAGGAGTGCGGGGGGAACAGGATTGTAAGATATTAGTAGCAGTTTTGCTCTGCTACAAGCCAAACAAACAAATCATACAATCTTGAATCCCCAAACTGAGGGGATATTTGAATGGGATAAATTTTCATCAGTTTACGGCCTATGAGTTTTAATTTTTAAATTGCCTTTTGATGCCTGGGAACAAAAAGTTGAAGGACTGTAATACGTATTGTAGTCACAGCATCTTCTTCATATTTACCTGGTTTTATCTAAGCTTTTGGAAGGTAAATTGGACTGAATAAAGATGGTGATGATAGATACCATGAATATTACATATCAGACTTTATACAAATCATATATCGTCTTCCTTCTCCTCCTTTATTATCTGACTTGCATCTGGATGCTTGGAAGTTAATTAAGGGAAGCAAAGTGTAAAAATTATTGTGTCAGGCGGATGTCTATGCTCTGCTCTTTGTTTTTGTTCTAGATAAATTAAGTAATTCCCCGTTCTCGATAATTTTTGCCTGCACAGCGTAGTCTCTATTCAAGTAATTAAGTAGTCCACAGTGTTCAAAGAGGCATGATAACAGTGCTCAAATGGCAGCATATGAAGCATTTAGCCCTGGAAACAGACACTTTGAAATACTGCAGTGGTTTCAACCCAATTTGAACAGGAGTAGCCCTTAATTATTTTCCTTATCCTGTGAGAAGACAGGTTATTTGTCACTGTTTAGAGGCAAGTCTTTTCTCATTTTTGGTTTACAGAAATCTAAATTTCCATCCAAAAGCTCTACACAGTGTTAATCAACGCATGTTCTTCTGACTAATGCCATTCACATGCTTTGTTGGATTACGGTTCAAAAGCACAAGGCATGGAAATATAACCGAATAGGAATTTACAATTACTTACATCATACAAGCTGATCATCCCTTATCTGGAATCTGGAAATCTGAAAGTCTTCAAAATGTCCACTTAAGTGACTGAGATAGTAACACCTTTGCTTTCTAATGGTTCAGTGTACACAAACTTTGTTTCACACATACAATTGTTAAAATATTTCACATAAAATTTATTTGAGACCAGGTGGATAAGAAAATGTTTTCATGTTTAGACTTAGATCCCATCTCCAGAATATCTCACTATATATGTACTATGTATTGTCGAAGGCTTTCATGGCCGGGATCACTGGGTTGTTGTAGGTTTTTCATGGCCATATAGCCCGGAAAAACCTACAACAACCCACTATATATGTACTATTATTAACTTTAACTTTATTTGTACCCCGCTACCATCTCCCCAAGGGACTCGGTGCGGCTTACATGAGGCCGAGCCCAACACAACAACAAAAGCAATAAAACATCGATACAAGCAATTAAAAAACATAGACAATACAATACAATACACAACATTATTAAAAAGCAACACATAATTAAAACAGTGGGAAGGCCAAATGTAGAGTTAAAATTGGAAATAATTCTGGGCCATAAGCGAAAGGTGATACTAGTGTTTGTGGAGGGCATACAAGCAGACTCAGGGAAATGTAAAGTGCTTTGGAGGACAAAGTGCTATGGGATTCAATTATTCCGGGAAGGCACACTGGAACAACCACGTCTTCAAGCTCCTCCTGAAGACTGCCAGAGTTGGAGCCTGTCTGATGTCTTTAGGGAGTGAGTTCCAGAGTCAAGGGGCCACCACCGAAAAGGCCCTCTCTCTCTCATCCCCACCAAACGCGCCTGCGATACTGGTGGGATCGAGAGCAGGGCCTCTCCAGAAGATCAAAGGGATCATGTGGGTTCGTATACAGAGTTGCGATCATGTAGGTAGGTGGGTCCCAAACCGTTCGGGGCTTTATAGGTAAGAACCTGAACCTTGAATTGGGTCCGGTAGATGAATGGCAGCCAGTGGAGCTCCTTGAACAGGAGGGATGACCACTCTCTGTAACAACCTGGCTGCCGCCCATTGGATCATCTGAAATTTCCGGGCCATTTTCAAGGGCAGCCCCACGTAGAGTGCATTGCAGTAATCCAGTCTACTATTTCCATGTATTTCCATGTACTAGTATTTCATGTATTTCCATGTACTAATATATGGAAATACAGATTTTCCAAAATCTGAAAAAAATGTGAACTCCAAAATATTTCTAGTCCCAAACAATTTGTATAAAGGACACTTAATATATACTAATCACTCCTGACTTAATGGAGAACGTCAAACCCACTCATCTCTTAAAATCAACTTCCTTTTTAGACTGTTCAAAACTTAGATTAATTAACTTTTAAAAAAAAGAAAGAAAAGAAAATGGTGCCACTATAAAGTTTTTAGCAGTGCTGACTTTTTGTAGATGTTTCTGTGTCAATTTGTAATTATAACTCTCAAAATTCAGGCTAAATGAAAAGTGGTTTTATAAATAAACATTTATCATGGGAACAAATAGTTGAAATAATGGATGATGGCAATTATAGCATCTTATCTACTGTTAGTCTATTTATTTAGAGTATTTATAATGTACTCCCCTACTCAAAGTGAGCTGGTAGGAATTATGGTATAAAATCAGTGCTTTGTGATATTGCATCAAAGCAGTTTTATAAAACTGACACAATACATGAACATATGGAAAGGTTAATACTGCAAAATTAATATTTCACCATAGATTGGGTCTGTTATTCAGACATCAATAATTTCATTTGATCGATCAATTGCTACAAGGTACAGCAGATTCAAATATTAAATGACTAATGCAATGAAATGCAATCCAGATAAGACAACCTTGCTTCAGACATGAAAAATCACCATTCCAATAGTCCAGTGTTTCTCAAACTGGGCTCCTCCAGGTGTTTTGGACTTCAGCTCTCAGAAATTCCAGCCAGCTCAACAGCTTAACAGCTGCTTGGAGTTCTGGAAGCTGAAGTCCAAAACATCTAGAGGAGCACAGTTTGAGAAACTTTGCCATAGTCTATAGTCACAGAAATATGTTCTTACACAGCAATTATTAACAGAGAACATTGGCAAGAATCCAGTGACGGCCTTGCAATGGCTGAAGATCTATAAAGCAGATCTTGAAGAAAACAATGACTCATACTTGCACTGTACACATGCAGCTCGATGGATAGAGTTTCAAGTTCTGCATTGGGTTATGGAAAATAAAAGAAGAAGACTTTTCATGTTCTTTTGTCAGGCACATGAGCAGAAATCACTGTCTTCTGATATCTCATGATAGGACTCTTCCATTAGCACAAGGAAACTACTAGATGTTGTCTACATCTATTAACACTTTTGATGTATGGACTATGCTTACTGGATCCATTAGCAACCAACCTTTTATTCAGGAAGGAAAATAAGTTCTCAAGACAGAGTCTCTTTGGTTCCTTACCATTATGGAACAAATCCATCACCATTTCTTGGAGGAGTTGATTTCCTCCACTGCCTCTCCAAGCAGTCCCTACATAACCCATAACAGGATGGTCTGTTTCACTGGAATTCCCCTCAACTCATCCATAGTTGCCTGCCACCAGAACTCCACGCTGTTAAATATAGTCAGTCCCTGAGTTACAAACATCCAGCTTACAAATAACTCCTGGTTAAGAACAGGGTGAAAGAACAAGAAGTGAGAGAAATCTATATCTAGGAATAGAAATTCAGTCCTGTAAGAGTTATTGTGAGGAAAAGGTGTCTCCACTGAAGCTTTATCACCAATCCTTGTTTTCATAAGACCAATTTTTCAAAATCTAATTATCACAGGGACAGAAAATAAGATTAAAATGTCTGAACAGAGACAGAAACAGCAAAAAAAACACCACATGGGTGTTAACCCTTCATCATGCTATTCAAAGCCATCTCTCTCTCTCTCTCTCTCTCTCTGTATATATTAGGCTTGGGTAACCACGGAAAAATTTGGTTCTAAACTCGTTTTGTTTTTAGGGGGCCCTTGCATTTGGTTTTTTTAAATAATTCCGAAATTTTCCTTTTAAAAATTTCAAAATAAATTTCATATAATTACGAATCGATTCGTTAATGGCGGACGCGATTGCGCAATATGCTAAAAAAAAACCTCCAAATGGGACAGGGGGAACTTCTGAAGCTTCCCTCTCCCTCTGTTGTTGACTGTTGGTGTGATAAAACAAACAACAACTATAAAACTTGCACCAGACATGCGAAAATAATTACGAAATAATTACGAAATAATTACGAAATAATTACAAAATAATTACGAAATAATTACAAAATAATTACGAAATAAATTGAAAAAATTGTTTCGAATCTAATTTATTCCTCACACTATTCCTGCATGGCTCAATATTGGATTGTAAGCTAATTTAAATACGAATTAATAATGAATTACGAAATTAACGAACGAAACCGCCCAAGCCTAGTATATATGTATATGTGTATGTGTATGTGTGTGTGTGTGTGTATGTATATATATATATATATATATATACACACACACACACACACACACACACACACACATACATACACGAGGGGTATTTTTTAAGTAAGGTCCGTTGGAACATAAGTACACAATGAAAGTTTATTTCAAAAAAGTAAATTTATTTTCAGAAAGTACATACTTCACTCTATTTTTCGACATAGTTGTCAAGTTTGTTCAAACACTTATCATACCTCTGAACCCTCTTCATAAAAACTTGCCACCTGCTCCAATAACCAAATCGTCTGTAATCAAAGAAGGGTGACCGGAGCGGTCCTCATCATGGACGTTGTCACGGCCATCTTTGAATTGTCGTACCCACTTACACACTTTGCTTTCACTCATAACAGTATCACCGTACACGTCACAAATCTGTCGATGAATTTCTGCAGCAGGCAGGTTCCTTGCTGACAAAAACCGTATCACTGAGCGAACCTCACATGCAGCGGGTGAGTTGATAGTCTTAAACATTTTTAAAGCACAGAACAGAACCATACAGGTTAGCTACAGAGCGGAAACGGAGCACAGTTGTTCCCGAGGCATGCCGGTACACGACGCACATGCTCGTTGCGGTATGCACGTGAACAACTAGTGTCTACAACAAAACGGACCTTACTTAAAAAATACGCCTCGTATTTTAAAAAATTAGAATTTATTATTGAATTTAGCAGGATGTGTGTTGTGTCTTTATTAATTTTGACACACATTTTTATAAGAATACACACAAACAAAAACATGAAACCCAGTTAAATTCTAAAATTTAGGACAACAGACTATAATAAAGGCTGGTCTTTAAACAGTAGCCAACCTTTTGTTCTAAAATGCATGTTCTCTAGATTTATTGAGATTTCACAGCATGACTGACGGCAGGGTTTCATTACTAGATTTTTTATCCAAGTAGCACATTAAAGTTCAGTGTCTCATGGCTGTAAATGAATATTAAATGTTTTGATATCTTCCTTCAGATTATTTTGTAGGGCACAGTCCTTCCAGAGTTAAGCATATATCAGTCCTATTTATTTCACTAGAAAACCTGAATACCTATTTTACTGTCTCTTGTTGAATTATTCAAATGTCATTTGCTTAATTCTGGCTGGATCATCCATAAGGGCACAAAGCATTGAGGATTCAGTAGCCTGCATGAGAGAAATCGATAACAGTGATGTTTATGTTCACAGAATTCAAATTTCTCCATTATCACAGAGGAAGCTTGATTAACTAACCAACAAATGTCACTTTCCATTGCCTCTTGCTTTTCCATCTCTCATACAAATAAAAGCTCAATTTCCCTTTGCAGTTGGTTGAACCCTTGACACCTAGTGGCACTGCTCCCAACCAAGCACAGCTCCGTATTTTGAAGGAAACAGAACTAAAACGTGTGAAGGTCCTTGGATCTGGAGCCTTTGGAACTGTGTATAAGGTACATTCCTTTACTTTCACTCATTCTCAGTGTTCCTTGGAAAAACCATGTTTCTTGGATGATAATATCAAAATGATCAGGCATTGGGGTAAGAAGATCAATATGTACTGGAAACTCCATGAAAATGACTACTATTTTGTTCCTCTGATTTATTTATTTGTCATGTCAGGGCAACCAGTCAATTATATTACATTTCTAACAGAACAAAGCAAACAAACAGACAAAATACAAAATTTGTGGGTTTGGTAGTTGATTAAATGTCCTTT